CTTAAAGTATTGACCTAACGGAAGAGACTCAGGAGTGTTTGTTTTGGCAGACATAGCAGAATTAGTTAAAGTTGTACTTCATTCCCCCTGCTTTGCTCTCTATCACCCTGACTTTAGCTTTGTTACTTGCAGTGTTGAAAGTTCAAGATGTAGTGTTGGTTTTTTTTAACTTTACATGTTCATCTCATTCTCTCTTGAATTAGCAGTGTTTGTCAGGAAAATCACTATATTGTCACTTAGGAGTAGTTAGTTGTTGGTACTAAACAAGCTAAATCTTAAAAATGAATTCCAGGCCTTGAATAATTGAGTCTTATCCAAAGTCATTGCAAAGACTGGGTAGCTCTTCTGTATCTTGAATTAGACAAGTGTTCTGAGAAATTCATTGTTTAAAATTTATATGATTGTAAGACTATGCTTGCATCTGTTTTTCTTTGGGAAAATAACAGTGCCCACAAATGAAAACATCTTTGAGTTTTCTTCAGGCCCAGAAGCTTAGATGGCAAGAAAGAGACCAGCTGTCACCAGCTCAGAATTGATGTTTCCTAAGAGAGGGATAAAATTATTGCTTGATTGAAGCAATGGGGATGAAAGTCCATAAGCTGTAAAAGAGAGATTTTTGCTTACTATAGGTTTACTCCCTAAAGCAGGAGGTTCTTAACATGGAGTCCATGAACTTGACTTTTAAATAGTTTGTCAACGTGTTTCAATATAATTAGTTTCTTATTAAAAAACATTCTGAGAAGGGGTCCATAGGTTTTATCAGACTGCTGAAGGAGTCCATGCACAAAATGGTTACGAGCCCACTCCTGAAATAATTAAGGACGTCTAGTCGTGAAATTAATGAAGCTCATTAAAAAGAGGAAGTTATAGTAGAAAAAAATAGGGTATTGCTTACCCCCCACTTTGGCCACAGGAGAGGTGGCATCTTTTCTGTTCTGTTTGTGAAAGGAGACTCCAGATGAGCTTATAGAAATATCTGTTTTGCTGGGGTACAGTAGCAGTCCCTTCCTCTTCGTAGTTCTTATCCCACATATTCACTATTTGCATTAATTTGGTTTCTCAAGCAGGCTACTAGAAAGGGGTTTTCCATTTGTAAATTACATTTGGTTGCTTTCTGAGATGTAGAGGAATGAACTTTTCCCAGGGTTTGACTACTTCTGGTTAAGCTGATCTGAGGTTTCAGACCTTTTGAGAAGTAGGAGATTGGATCCTGAGGTGCAGAGATGTGACATTAGTTTAGGTCTTTTCTTATTCCCTCAGTTTCCCTTCTCCTCCCTCCACCTACTATTACAATCATTAGTTTCAAATTGCAGTAATAATTTCCATATTAACTTCATTTTTATCACACAGTTGTGTAAATGTATTCTTTGTATATTTGATTGTTACCTTTTATATTTGTGTGGCACCTGCTTTCAAGGGATAATAACTTTTTCAGAGCTTTTTCCCCTTTGGTTTTTAGCCCAACTATTGGAATGGCAAAGAGTGTAGAAAAAAAGGAAACACACAGCTACTCACTCAGTCTTAACTACCTCCTTCACAAAAATTTGAAAAACAGAACAATCCCAAATATGTTGAGTGATATTCTTGTGTTTGCCACTGGTAGAAAGCTAGTGGAAGTCCACTCTCTTTATAGTCATGTTACTTTAATCTCAATACACTTCAGTACAGTTAGTGTATTGAATAAAAATATCTGTGAATTGGAAAGGTTTAAATAATATTTTCCTCGAAGTCATTGAAGTTCCTATAATGAAAGTGCATTGAAAAGAGGGGATTTTGGAGAATTTTATCATATTTAATTAAAATAATCATAGTATTGTTTTTTGTGCTGTTCATAGACATATATTAGTATTTCTTGAAAGTTAGAAAATTATCCCAGACCTTGCTTTGTGAGTTGTTAGCAAATGGCAAAGTGGAAAACATAGTTTCTGAGTTTTCTGTAGGCTTTCATAGCCTACAGCTCAGTGATTCTTTGTTAGACTTCCCATTCACACTGGGTTTCCATTCTGGTTCACACCAGAGAAATGATCAGTATTTCCATCATGACCCTGTTTGGTTGTGGGCAGACGATCTCCTTATCTAATCCCCAAACTTGTTCCTGTTTTTTTCCCTATGCTGTACCATACCTTATGTTCTTATCTCCCTTACCAGATTGTAGGTACTTTGAAGACTCGGATCATGTATTATATTTCATTATATGTTGCCCAAATATTAAGCACAAAGTAGGTACTCAGTAGTGTTTTGAATGAATTATGCCTTTGTTTTGCTAGGCCCTTTGTTAAAAGTAATGCTGTCATATATTGATTTTCTGCTCTATTTGGTGTAAGTCATTTGAGTCCTGTGTACTTAATGTTGCCATTGACTCACTGGCGATACATCCCTTACTTATGCAGCAGGGTTCTCAGGGCCACCACAGGAAAGAAAGTATGATTAGAAGTAGACTATCCTAGTTCTGGTCACTAATATGGTGAAAACTAGCATTTAGATTGAATGGAGAATACTGTAGTGGAAAGAATAAGGGACTAGGAGTGAGAAGATTATTCTTTCCACATAAGAGGAAACACAAGCAATATAGCATGTATTCTTCATTTTTAGGGAGACCTGAGCACATGTCCTTTGGTAGTCATTTTAGGTTGATCTTAGAAAAATCAAGTTGTGTTTGTCAAACTCTAAATTTATTGCACTATTCTTTGGTTGCTTGACATTTTTAAACACTTTAGTCAATAGATGGCAACCAGTTGTTAGGCAAAAAAATTTGTCATAGCTAATTGGCTATAGTAACCATCTAAAAACGTGCTTCAAACACTTACTTGGTCCAAGTAATGCGTAAAAATATGGTTGTTTTTGTATTTTGCTTTGCTGCTTTTGGTATAATTCCTGGGTGGGATAAAGTTGGAACAGGCTTGATGTCTCGACTTCTGCTTGCTTAGGGGAACCATGATAAAAGTTTCTCCAGATAAAAGTGAGACAGGTGATAAAGGCCATTAAGATTGAATTAATTTCTTGTACTTTGAAAAAAATACTTCTTGTATTAATTTAAATGAAGAGAATCCTAAATAACTTTTTATTTGGGGCTGAAGTTTCTTAAGTAGAATACTTATTTATCAGTATTCTGGAAGTAAAAGAGTTCTAGTCACAGTTGACTTATTTTCTGCCCATCTCTAATTCCAGAATTCAAGCTTTGATTTTTTTTGTTCTATTTTGACAAAAAAAAAGGTCTTTATCTTTATGAGGATCATGTGGGACCATATCTTTTCCTTAAATCAGCTTGTTAGTTGTTAGCTTTTTAGGTTTCTTAGTTGAGGCTATTATCTTTCTCATTCTGTGGGCTGACTTTTAATGAGATAGTGGCAAGCAAAGTACACTGAGTTGGCTCCCCATCTGTGGTGGTTGGTATTTTCATATTACTACCAAAGCAGTACATATTCTTAGTTCCTGTAAGCAAATCCTTCCTATGGTATTCATCATTATAGTGCAACCTAAGGGTTAGGTTTTTGGTGTTCTGTCCTGGCTCTAGATTCCCGGTGGTCCAGTTCCCTTCCTGTATTCAGGTTAGTCAAATTTACTTTCTTGATTCTCTTTCTTTCATTCTTTTTTGAAAATGTTTCTGTAGTTGATATATCTCTGAAGAGATTCCTTGTGTTTTTAGTTATTTTACTGTAAGACCCAGTTTTTCCTGGTTCACACCAGAGGAATGTGTTTATTCACCTTATAGTGCTGATTGGTTGACTTTGGTTATATTGGTTATTTCCTTGACATTTTTGAAACTTCTAAGGTTTCTCCAATAACATTTGTACATTATCTTCCTTCTGTAAATGTAATCCTTCTCCCAGACTTATTTCCGTTGATGACACCACCATCTGTCCAGTTTCCCAGGTTGGTTACATCAGAGTAACCCTGAGTTCTCTGTTACCTTTGTCATAAGTCAGTCGGTTTTCAAACCTAGTTGATTCTAGTTCTACAACATCCTTCACATCTGTTCCCCTTTCTTCACTCATGTGGTCACCACCTTAGTTCAGGCCTTTATATTCTCCCCAGAATATTGTAATTACTCTTCATTTATCTCCTAGCTTCTAGTTTCTCCTCTTTTTAATCCATCATCCATATAGCTGACAAAACATATTACAAAATTTTTTTCAATTAACAAAAATTCATTTTCTCTCCCTCCTACCTCCACTCCCCTCCTTGAGGAAAAAGAAAAACAAAACCCTTGTAACAAATATGCCTAATCAAGCAAAACAGATTCTCACGTAGGCCATGATCAAAAATAGGTTTCTTCTTTTGCATCATGAGTCCATCATATCTCTGTCAGGAGGTGGGCAGCTGGCTTCGTTATCAGTCATCTGGAATTGTGATTGATCATTGCATTAATCAGAATCCTTATGTTTTTCAGTAATGTTTGTCTTTATAGTCTTAGATAAACTGTGCTCTGGTTTTGCCAAAATAATTTGACTGAAGTACAGGTCTGAGACAGTGGCACTCCTCTACTTAAGAATTTCCAATGGTTCCCTGTTGCCCCTAGGATTAACATTTACCAACCTTAGTGATCTTGCTTCAGCCCACTTTTCTCATGTATTTCCCATTTCTCCCCATCATATACTCTGCCTTCTAGTGAGCTGGCCTACTTGCAGGGTCCTGAATTCAGGCAGGCTGCCCCCTCCTCCTTTTTTTTTTTGCCTTTGCACAGGCTCTTCCTTGTGCTTAGAACATACTTTTCTTCACTTCTACCTCAGCATCCTTAGCTTCCTTTCAAGATGATCTCAGATATCACCTTCTACAGGAAACTCTTCTATTATCCTACTAGTTTTTAGTAGTTCTCTTTGTCCTTTCCATAACTTTGTACAGTTGTGTACCCCCAGCAGAATACTTCTTTGTATCACTAACACTCTGCACTTGGTAGGTGCTTAATAAATGATGATTGATTTAAATATATCTTCTGTGTATGTGTATGTATATGTGTATATATATATGTGTGTGTGTGTGTGTGTGTGTATATATATATGGCAGAGAGGAATTACCAGTGTAATTCTTTTTTTCTGAAAATATAAAAATGTAACAGATCACAGTCTATCTGTTTGCTGTTTGATTGGATTTGGCAGTTTATGCTTGTTCCTTATTGTGTTACCTAATTGAAAAAGAACTGAAGGGGACCAGCTCTTTTTAGTCAGTCGTTGACCGTCGGGGGTATATGCTTGGGAGACAGCTACATCCTCAGAGTTCAGAATCTTGACATGCCTCCCTCATGTTCAGGCAGTGGGGTACAGACTGGGAAACCTGTTGCAAGTGACCTCAGGTAAGTTGATTTCTTATATCATGAGCCTTTTCCTCTAAAAGATAACATTTAATATCCAGCAAGGAATCACTGCCTAGGAAGAAAAAGAAAGCAAAAGATTTTGAAACTTGTTATGCCTGTGATTTTCACATTTGCGTTAAACGTTCCTTTCAATTACATGCGATATAACATGAGTTTTCTTGTTCCTGGAAAAAAATGAGTGGAGCAAGCTGTGCTATCTAGTTGTGAGGATGGGAATGTACTTTTACAATGGGAAGACCTTTTTTTTTTTTGTAAAAAGGAAGATGATGAAGAGACTGGTTAAAACTGAGTTGAGTGGCTCTATTTCAACAGTTTGTTTGCTGTTTTTTCCCAAGTAACTTGGATGGAGAGTAGGATGAATTACTATCTTTAGTTTTTGTTTATTTGGCAGTTGTAATGAATAGTTTACTCTAATACAAATGCCTGTAATTTCCTTGTTTCCTTTGTGTGTACCAGGTATTTGCTTGATGTCGTTCTCTGAGTAGAAGGTAATTTGCATGTGTTTTCCCCACATACTCTGTTCTTTTTTTTTTTTCTTTCGCCACATACTCTGAAGCAGTCTTTACTTGTTTGTGTAAGAAATCATTGCTAGGTATGGATTACTAAGTATTGGAAGCATAATGTTTGTGATTGATAGGGCACATTTTAGTTGTAAATAAAGTGTGGGTCACAGCACTGTTGTGTCAGGTATTTCCCTTGAAGCTATAGGGGTATGATTTATCTGATGATTTTAAAAACAAAGCATGTTTACTGGTAGTGTTACCTTGTGCTTCAACAGTGTATTTATTCATTTTGCTTATATAAGGTGGACATGTAATTTGCCTCTTACAAATATTTACATAATGGTTATACAGATACTTTCCTGGGAACTTAAAAATTACTTCCGACATCCATCTGTTCTACGAATGAGAATTTAGGTGAAACACTTAACGTGAGCATTTCTTCAGGTCTCTGATTTTAATTTCCTAGTATACAGACTTATCTACCTCAATAATAAAAATAACTCACATTTATATGTCATTTTTAGGTTCACAAAGCACTTTTTTCAATATCTGTGAGGATAGGTCTTGTAGACATTATCTCTATTTTACAGATGAGGACATAGCCTCAGATCATACACAATAAACTGAGATTTGAACTTAAGTCTTTTCCATTCAAGGACCAAAGCATTTTTCATTGTACTTTATTGTTTCTCAAGAGATTAAACAGATTGAAACTATAGATTAAGAAAAACTTTAGTTACATGGGTGATTACTAGAGCCACAACAGGTTAAAGAAAACTAGGATTTGGGGAGGGTACTCTCACTTTTTTTAAGATTGAAATTATGGTGAAGGAGATCCATATTGCCCCGCAATAGAAATGGGCCTTGGACTTTGAGTGATGATTCTTATATTCCCCATAATTCTTCTCAATGAAATGCCAAGGTAACAAAGTTAAATTGATCTGAGAGTGAAATTCTTTAGTTGTAGTGGTGTGAATTATTTCTGATAATGTAACATCATAGGCTGTTAAGAGTTGGAAGGGATCTTAGAGGTCATCTAGTTCAACTCACTTATTTTATGGATGGAAAACTGAGCCCAGAAAAGGAGGGTGTTCAGTGACAATCACAGGCAGCCCTACTGTGTCTTTTCTTGTCGGGATGCAACATGGCCTCCCTAAAAATTCCACTAAAGTAAGTGAAATTATTTTAGTATCCCTTGTACATTTTTCTTGTTATACTGCTTTGTTTCTTTTTAAAAAATTTTAATTAATGCCTTTTGTTGTTACATCATATTATTTCCAGATATTTCCTTCCTTTTCCCAACTTGGCAAGCCGTCCCTTGTAACAAAAAATTTTTTTTTAAAGAAATAGGGGAAAAAGCAGTTTAGCAAAACCAACCTATATATCAACTATGTCTAATGGTATATATTGCATTGCCTTTTATGGCAGAGAATTTTTTTTTTTAACACCGTGAACTTGCTGTGTAGGTTGGAAAATAGACCTTTTTTATCTCTTAAGACAATCTTAAAACAGAGAATAAAGGGGATCAGATATTCATCTTTATCTTTGCAGTTTCTCTGGAATTTTTAAGTTGTTAGATACTAGTTATTATTGGTGCTATGAATCATAGATGTAACTAAGTTGAAATGCTTGAATGTGCAATAGGATATATTTAAAATTCCTTGCTTGGGAAGTATACATATACACAATACACTTAGAAGAATTGATATATTTATGCTAGCTACTTATACAACATTGCTTATAATAGGCAAGCTGGCCATAGTAGGAGACCCAGGATGTAAGAAAGATGATGCAAATTTAGCTGAAAATTACAATTTTGAGTTTAAAAATACATTATGATAAGAGCTCCAAATGTTCTATTTAAAGAAGTCTGGTTTCTAAAACTATGCAAGTAGTAATTTTGGTATATACAAATAAAAGTTACTTACAGGTAAATCATTAGGGACCACAAATTTAGATCCTTTAGATTTTTGGTCCAGATTATCTTTGTTATGGAATTCTTTTTCATAGTTTGAAAATGATGTCCAGCAACCTCAGAGGTAGCAAAGAGACTCTGTCTTACTGGTAGGGAATTAGCTGTTATACAAGTTAAGAAGCCCAGAACCACACTCCAGCCTAAATTTGCAGTTTTGTTATGTACTCATTTGGAAAGGAATTCAATGAATGACGATAAAGTTAAGGTTGCTTTAGATTCTAAATGATGGTGTCTTAAGTTTCTCTCATACCTTTCTGCAGACAACTCAGAATTAGTCACAAACATTATCTCATTCATGACATTTTTCTGAGCTAAATATTACTGCCCAAATTTCACAAGTTTCTTTAAATTTGTGAATGCAATCAGTATCATTATAGCTTTTTCGGTGATGATTTGAAACAAAGTGAGCATATAAACATTCTGAGTTATATAAGAGTTGTTTCCTTTGTTTAAAGAGGTCAAAGTGAAGATAATGAGGACTTCTGGGTTGCTTTTACTAATAAGACATATGAAACTGAAATGTCCATGTGCGTGCCCCACAGAATAATTTTAGTCTTGTTTCATGAATTAGTTTTACCAAATTTGAGGGCTGCTGAGATGGGTCCATGGAAGATTCTGTGGGTAGGAAAAGGCAAATTAAATCTTTTCCATTTGATGATTATGAAGTGTTCTACCTGACCTCAGGTAGTAGTGGTGAACAACATATTAAATCTGGTCAGACTTTTAGGCTATCTGTCCGTTGGGCCTAGGAATGAAAACTCTCCCTAGGACTTTGAACATTCACATGTAATAAGCAGCATGGTTATTTTATTCAGTCGACTAGACTACATTAAAGTAATGTGAAGTCAGATGACTTAAGCCTCATTTTTGGATGCCTGATTTCCTGCTGATCCAACGTTCATACTTCCAAGTATCTTGGATAAATTTATTTTCATCATACACTAACATGTACCTGAAAAATACATAGCAGTTCATTCCTTTAGTTCTGTCAGAATTATTTACCTTTTTATCTAGTGGTAGATAGTTGTGAACCTGGAGAATTAATATGAGATATTAACAAAACTGGGATGGTTTTATGCTGTGGATAGGAACACAATTGGAGACTACATTGATCTTTATGGAAAACTAAATGCAAATTTCTTCCTCTTGATATATGCAAATTCACATAGGTAAACATTTTTAGAGTTATATAGGAGAACCAAGTATAAGCCTAATTGGAAAAAAAAATCATATTTACTTGCTGCTACTTTGAAACTGGAGAAGGCTGTTCTCAACCAAGAGTCATGCTGGGTTTCATACTTGTGGTTGGGTAAGCTGTTTAGAAGTGAGCTCCAAGGAGAGGTGGCTGGTAGAGGTTGTGCCAGCTTAAACCACAGGTATATTTGGGAAGCCAGGAGGCGTTCTTCCAGGGCTGGGTGACCCTCGCGGAGGCAGAGGATGGATGCTGTGGCTGAGAGGAGAGCGGCACGCCCAGAGAGGAATCCCATGAAGCGGAGCTGGAGGGATCAGGTGAGCCTGGGGTGGAGATAGTGGTAGCAGAAGGAGAATTTTTGGTTTTCTGCAAACTCACTTTAAGCATACATGGGAATTGTTGGATTTTTTGGTTTTTGTTTGTTATTATTTTTCAAGTTTTTCGCTATATGAAGTCTGAATAGAGGGGGAGCTATTGAGAATGTACCCTCCTTGCAAATGGGTGCTATAATTTGAGATATGAATTTTGTGTAAATACTAGGAAGAGAAGAAAGCTTGATGAAGGGTAGAGCTTTGAAGAAAAGCCTCTCACTTAGCTTGTATCAGATTTAGACTGACAGTCATGACATTTTTAGAGCCTCTTTAGAGTAGATTGGCTATTTGTTAGAATGTAAAGAAAAAAACAAATGGGCATTTGATAGTGTTCATTTGAGATCACTTCAGACTTAAAGACATAGTGGGACATGAGGGTTTAATGCACTTGATGCACTAAAGGATTAGGTTTTGTTAGATAGTGAGGAAAGGATAGAATAGAGAATACTTGCCCACATGGGTCAGTTGTTTGCCAGTAAGGCTAGGTTTTGTTACTAAGTTTTAAAAAAAGGAAGGGCCAAAATAATTTCTTTAGAAGCCTGAAATTCAGGATTTTGGTTTTAACATTTTTAGAACAGTGTGCGTTCATTTGGGTAACAAACCTTACATAAGGTGAACCCTACTTTATCTTGGGAGCTGATAGGTTAATTTGCTAAATCCCTTCCTGTTGATTTAAAACATCTTTGTTGCCTTGGAGGTCACCTTACATTGAAATTTTGTATCTCAGTCAGCAAGGATTCATGGTGGTGGTGGTAGTAGGATATACTTACAACATCATTGGCTAATCTTGGATATCCCCAGCATGCTGGATCTGGGTTTGAGCTCCCCGGGCTTTGAAAGTAGAGTCCTGTTTTGGCTCTAAACATTAGCTACGGAATGTATTGTTTCAGGGCCCTAAGGAAATTTGTAATAATTTGAACAAAGTAACAATGTTCATATCACAATGTCAGGATATTTTTTTTTATTTTTGGGTTCAGGAGAACTGCCATCTTGGTAAGTTATGATTAGTAAGTTACTCAAGGATTTTGTTCAAGGAGAGTGACCTTAGTAGCATTCCTACCATATATCAGAGCAGGAGGTAGGCTAGATATTTTAGGGAATACAACATGGTAAATGTTAACAATCACCAATTATGTTCTTTAAGGCTGAGATAAAAAAAAGTAAAATTAACATACCCCTTTATAAAGGGAAATTTCATTTAAAAAATATACTGTATTTGTTGGAATATAGGTCACACTGTTTTTCATCATAAAATGAGTACAGTCTAAAATCAGTATTATTTTTCAGTGTTTACTTACATGTTTTTTCCCTTCCAAAGCTAGTGAGGTGATTTACATTCAGACCAAAGTTAATAGTGTGTCAGAGGTGGCAGGGATGTTTAATTTTGTGTGGGAAAATGAGAGGGCCCATGCATTTCGGTTGAGTACATTTGGGTGTATGTGGGGTATAAAAAAAGGACTATCTTCTCTTTTCCCTTTTTAACCTCTGTATTCACCATCACATCCCTAAAGGCAGTAGAGGATGTTGTACTTGCTCTGAGGAGCTTTTTAATATGTTTAGAAACTTTCATGTTTCCCTACTTTATTTGCCCATTAGGGGTTTGAATTCATGATGCCTGTAGATGCTGTTTCTGTCATCTCTTGGCTGCTCCCAGAGTCCTCTGATATTTTGGGGAGTTCATGTTTTTGTATGACCTTGCAAAAGGTCATCATTTAAGCTCTTTTGAGTGGGTGGTGGGAATTTTTGATGGATACCAGCTTATTAAATTAATTTTTTTGTTTTTTATTTCAGGAGAGATTCAGTACCTACGGGTTCATCCCCCTGAAGTATGGGTATGTGGCCACACCGTAGTTTTGCCTGAGAAAAGAGTATGGTGCCGGCCATATGGAACACAATTAGGGATAGCCTCCAGCAGAGCTCGGGTCTCCTGGCTTGGTACAAGAGAGATGCTATGGGACCAGTTATTACCCCTCATTCAGTCAGTGGTATGGCAGGGCATTTCGCCAAATGTGATAATAATTCACTTAGGGGAAAATGACTTAGTCCAGCAGACTAAGCTAGGCCTAATAATCACCATGAAAAACGATTTGATAACATTATGCAAAACCTTTCCTAAAGCAAAGATTATATGGTCAGCTTTACTCCCCAGGAGAATATGGCCAGGGGCCCAGAAACCTGGCGCAGTTGATAAAGCCAGGAAGGCACTGATTAAAGAACTTTCTAAGTTTTGTAGCCTCTCTGGAATTTCGGTGTTGAGACATGATCAGATTGTATATTCTTCCCCAGAACTATTTAGCCAAGATGGAGTACATCTGTCTGCAATTGGGGAAGGCATTTTTAATGCCAATCTGCGGGAAGCAATTGAAGCTTGCTTATAACCCACTTCTACTGCTTTGTTGAGTTCCTCTCCCTTCTTTAGGTGGAATTAATCCTTGCTTTGTAGCTTTATCTCTAGTTCTTTCCCATCCCTCCTGCTGGACAAGTCATTTGCTTTTGGACAAGGCTTCCAATTTTAATAAGACTAGAGTGGGGATTCTAGTGCCTCTTTGGGATTAGAGAGACTCATTTTGTACTGTATTCCTTTGTGTGGGATGGATATTGAGAAGGTAGGACTTCCATTATTAAACCTGTATCTTGGCTTCAGATTGGGGGACCATTTGCTTCTCTGCTTTAATCCAAGAGAGGAGGAATAATATGTAAGTTTTCAAAGGAGACCAGGCAGAGACCATTCCTAAAAGATGTTATAGGGTTTTGTGGGGTTTATTGTTGTTGTTGTTGTTGTTGTAGTTGTTATTGTAACAGGCTCTTTCCTGCCTTCTGCAACTGTACCCAAGAGCTGTGCTCACTCTTTTCCCCAGCATTTTCCCACCCCTTCACATTTAGAATATAAAACAAAGCATTTCTATTTCTTTTGTATGTAATTAAGTGACTTTTCTAAATGACTGAATATAAGGCTCCTAATAAATCACTTCATGTAAAGATGTATTACTTAGCATTTCTATTCATAAGGGCTATGGATACTTACTGTCTGTCCTCACGAGTGTAAATGATGTTATGATCTGCACCATTGTCTTTGTGGTAGAGTCATTTTATTGATAATTCTTAGACTTAATTCAGTCCAGATGTTATATAGATATAATGTTATTGTAGTATTTTGTCCTTAATAAAGTTACAGCTTGGAACTTTGTAAATTTGTGATTTATTCTTTTGTGTCCTTATTTTTGGTGTAATAAACAACATCTCCAGTCTTAAGAGGAACTTAGGTTCTGTTATTTTCATAAGAAATGAATGATTTATATATTTGCTAATGATTTCATGAAAGTCTCTTTGCTATAGGCAAATGTTTTGTGGAATTCATTAGTGAGAAGGGACGTTGAATGATCTCTCTCATACACACACAAAAAAATTAATGTAATACCTATCTTCCCTGTCTTTACCTTTTGAATTTCCTTTTAAATTTTAAAGCCCAGCTCAGAATGGTATCTTCTCCAGGAAATCTTGCCTGGTCCCTGTCTATTTCCACCCCTTCTAAGTCCCCCAGGACTTTAGTAACAATTTGTTTTGTAGTTCTTTAATATATTTAGTGTGTAATGTTTATTAATTACCTGAGCTTTTGTCTTACCTCCTTTCCTCCCCCTGTTAGAGTTTGAGCTACATCGAAAGTTATTCTTATCTAAGTTATCTCCCTCAGTGTGCAGCACAAAATAGATGTTTAGTACATTTTATTGAATAAACAAATTACCTCTGTATGATTGAAAACATAAATAGGCTACCATGGAAACATAATTTTAAGTTAATTGTAGATAGCAAAATACACAGCCAGTGGTAATCCTTAACTTACCAGGCAACAATAGGAAATGGACTTTTCAAAAATACAGATAATGTTGAAAGCCCAAATAAGTCTGACCTGAAAGGCAGTAGCCTTCTAGAAGAAGAAAGATTAGCGAATAGTTATTCCACATGCAAATACATGAGCTTGAGTGAAGTAGAAACTGAAAGAATAAGTTCTCTGTTGGAAGGCATAATAAAGGAATAAAGAATAATGCAGTTACCTAACTCTTAGGGTCATATGAAAGAATGCTTATTTGCCTAACTCTCTAGGCATACTTAAAACAATGAAATAATTCCAATCTCAAAAATATAGGTAACAAGAGGATTGTCTGACTCCACTTAAAGGTCTACTTTTTTAATCATGACAGAACAATGATTTAGGACATTTAGTTCCTATCTCACTTTTAGGCAGGTTTTTCCTCTATATGTGGTAGTACTGCCTTTAATCCAGGGGTGGGGAACCTGCAGCCTTGAGATGACATGTGACCCTCTAGGTCCTCAAGTGCAGCCCTTTGATTGAACGCAAATTTCACAGAACAAATCCCCTTAATTGAAGGATTTATTCTGTAAAACTTGGACTCAGTCAAAAGGCTGCACCCAAGGACCTAGAAGGTCACATGTGGCCTTGAGGCCACAGGTTCCCCACCCCTGGAAGTATGCTTGTCTTCATAGAATATTAAAATAATTAATGAAACAACTTTGTAATATTTTGGACTCCTCAGAAAGAAATTGTTCTTTAAATAAAAAGTATTGAGTAATTTAAACTCCTTTTGGAACTGACTCTGTTAACAGCCAGATATGAGAAGTAGCCTAGTATCTCTCCATTTGGAGAACTTAGAAGTTCTTTACTGGCCATTATTGGTTTCTCCTGAGATTGTCCTGCCCTTCTTCACCTCACCCCCGCAGCTTTGTAGCATGATGCCTGACACTGTTTTCACCCTGGGGAACATTCTGGAAAACAAAGAAAAGACTGGTTGATTTTTCCCCCCCAATATATTTTGTAGTTTCATAAAATGGTGAGAAAGCAAATAATATCCTCTGTTAGTACTCTATGTAATTTTAGTGCCTACGATGAATGTGAGTAGCAAAAATCAGTGATGGGTTTAATATTAGTGCTAAAGATATGTCTAGGGGTATTAGTAGAAGGTTTAATAATTCCCCTTGCAATTCTAAGGTTTCATAAGTCTGACTTGGACTGAAGGCTGGTGATGAATTATGGGATTATACTTCTAAACCACAAAAAATGGCTTATTGAGAGATGGTGATAATATACTTTTAATGTATCAAATGGCCAAGAATTGTTGATTGGGATGAAGGAATAATAATAGGTTTCATAAGCTTGGGTTTAGATTTTCTTGGTAATATAGCAGTTAAATTTGAATTAAAGACATTTTTTTTTGCTGTTTCTAAGTCTGAAGTAAATCTTCTAATGAAATCCCTATATCTAGTTGAGGCCTTACTCTAGCTTGCTCTTGTGCAGCAGTGTGTTAACTTGGTTGTAAATATGTTCTATTACCTTGTTTGTTTCAGTTGTTTTGTGTGGAAAATGGTAGGCAATTTCCAAAGTTTATATATTCATACAAAACTAACAAACATTCTGGTCATTAAGAGAAATTGTAAAGGAAAATGTATATTGGATTAATTAATGCAGCTTCTAAAAACAATCCCAGTAAAAAGCGATATCTGGTGTATTTTTATTTTTCTGATCTTGTTAAGAATCTTGTGTTGAAGGCCTGTTGTTGGCTCTTCAAGTTGTTACCTATATTCTATTAAAAGAAAGTAAAGTGCTGGTTTACTAACATGTCTGTGTATATGTGTGTATCTATCTAGCTATATATCTCCATATATATATATATATATATATATATATATATATATGTATTTATTAGAATATGCTGATTGCATCCTGTCCCAGAACATTGTAGGGTCTCCTCATTGATATCCATAAAAGTCAGGAAATTGGTTTAGTAATCCATATAGGAAAACTAAATGGGTGAAAAGTGCCTGCTATCAAGGCACACAGTTGGATGTCCAGTTCATTGAATATGTACTATTGTGCAGTTACTGTAGAGGAGTTATGAATTGTGCCCAGAATTGGAGTAATAGAGTAGGCTAGATTTCATCTGGTAAATTGCAGTGTTTTGGGTGGTTTTTTTTTTAAACAATCTTGAGATGTTCACTTATACACATGCCATCTTTTAAAACACAAATTAATCTCCAGCTGAAGCTGTATAATTCTGTATCTTGTGAACACCATTTTCCTCAAGGAATCCAAGTTGTGGGTGAGCCAAAAGGCAGGGAAAAGATGGGCATAAATAGACTTTAGCATGTCACTGATGGCCTAAATAGTATAAGGAAATACAGCTTCAGAAAAGGAGGTGGGTTGGTTATGTAATGAGAACAGGGAATGACAGTTGGCCAAATAAACTGTCTCATTGGTAGCCGTAAAAAGTAACAAAACCTTCAGGAAGGCCTCTAGTGCATTGAGTGGCTCACCTGAGGAAGAACTATGGAGGAATATGAGTAAGAATTGCATAGGATTAGAAAGCATAGAAAGCATATGTGGGTTATAATCTGTACCAATGGAAGGAGTATCCTAATTGAGAAGATTACAGGGTCTCCCAAAGTGTGGAAGTACCAGTTTTTAAAATACCCACTTCTCATTTTTTCTATTGCTGAGCCATTGAAATTGCTTATTTGGCTCACTGGAACACCAAATGTTACATTTAGAATCACAGACAGACGTTTCTCTGCGCGTTAATGCTGTGCCCTTACTGGGCTTTTTGATTAGAAAGTTAAGCATGGTTAGACTTGTGTCTTGTATGTGATAAACTTCATGGGTTATTTGATGGCAAATTTACTGTAACTCATTGCAAAGTGTATGTGAGAGGAGAAACAGCAATGTACTAAAAATGAGTAAATAAAGTGATAATTTAGCATGTGTTAGAAGGAAGAACTTACAAAGATATGGGTCAGTGTTGGACAATGATTTTGCCTAGTGAGCCAGATTGGAGGTGAACAAACCTATGTTATGATATTAGTGCTGTCATTTTGGCACAAATGGCAAAAGGACTGTTTTGTCCATCCTGAACTAAATTAACTTTGATTATATGCTCTTAGTGGCTAAGGACACTATGATGCCAAATGTCATGGACCAAATGCAGTGATTTCTTTTCATCTTACTTGTGCTAGTTCTATACTGACTTAATGGAAGACAGCAACCTCATTTCCATTGCCTCTGTGACTTTTCTTTTTCACTGCTCCTAGCTGGAAATAATTCCACCCTCTTCTGAACTGAAAATGAAAAAGAGAAAGTACTTTTTTTTGGTTTGTATTTTGTAATTTGTATTATCATTTGGCACTGATTACATTGTATTTTGTGTCATAGTTATTTGAGTACTTGTCATCTTGTCTACTAGATTGAGCTTCTTCAGAGCAGGGATAGGATTTTATTCATCTTTATGTCTTTCAGAGAGTCCAACCCATTGTTTTGCATATAGATTGTGTGATAAATATTGAATACCATTGACAGTAATCGTATGAATGCCTTCTTCGGTAAAACCGACAAGTTGAAGTGATCCTAGGGGACGGTCTTTGTGTAGAAGTACGTAATGTTTTGCACTTCATTTCATAACCGGTTTGTGCTATTGAAGAACTAGATATATAGCACCATGTGTAATTTTCAAACATAGTTAACAAGTAGCCTGTTAATGCTTTTCTATCAGTTTTTATTTTAAGTCATTAAACCTTTTATATAGTTGACAGGAAATAGAATTGAAAGTGCTTGTAAAAAGTCACAGATTTGCTTTAAGGGTGTTGTCAGAGTGATGGATTTCATGTTTGTTATTGAAATTGGAAAATCTCCCATTCTGCAGGTGAGTATTGCATTGAAGGCTGTAGCTGCAACCAGTAAAATTATTTAGCAAATCAGAAGGAATTGCTAACATTCCTCAGTTTGTTGTGGCATCCTTGATCAAACCCTTGGTGGGAATTCTGGTGGTTTGGTGAATTCTGGTTTGGTTATGTCTAAAATCCTGACTTAAAGGGAGTACTTTACTTTTTTTAACTCCTCAAATCATGAGAAACCTTTTCTGTAGTTGAGAAGTAACACTCACTGTTGGGAATAAGCAAAATGAAAGTTAAATAGTTGAGAGTCTTTTGAGTCAGTTAATATTGTTTTATTTTAAAAAATACTCATAGCACTTTAGAGTATTTTAGCACTTGAAAAACCCTTTTGTTTATTCTACCTGAAAAAGTAGAGTGGTTAGAAAAGGGAGTCTTTTTCTTTTTGTATCATACAGAAGCCCATTAAGATCCAAATCATAGATGATTAATATAAATGCTTTTTTAATGGAATTGA